TAAGAACTCAGTCTACACACTGGCAGCAGGTCCACTGATCTCACCCTCTCAAAGACCTTCACGCCCACTTCCCTTTAGCAACCAAACCAAAAGCCCATCACTTGAACCTCGTCTGAAGAATTCTTCTACCTCTAAAGTACCATTTTGTTATCCTTCCACCTACTAAGCCTGGACTCTGCTTTAAGGCAACTCCACAGCCCTAACTTATCCACTCATGGGTTTCTCCTTCACTTCTTTATCCACCTCACTCCATCCCCATCTGGACACAGGCACAGTGGGGGGGGGCAGACAATAACCCCATCTCCAACTATACTTTCCTCAGAGGTCTTGTCTCACTTGACCCTTGACCTTCTACTAAATTTGCCTTGCTCATTCCTGACCTAGAATCTGGCTTCTGGCTCCAAGGCTGACCAACTCTGGTTTCTAACCTGAGTCTGGTCTCAGGCAGCTTGGCAATCATTTCCCAATCCCCCAAGCTGATCTTTTCTTTTCCCTATAGCAACTACTCCAAACAAGATTGCAACCTCCCCTTTGCCCTCCTCCCTTGCAATCATCCATGACTCCTTCAAAACACAGAGAAAAGTGAGACCGTATGACAAGAGCTTTGACTTTGAAGGAGGACAGGCTATCTAGCATCTCTGAGTCATACTAACCTCTGCTTCAAAACATACATTGTTCTTTAGAAGGCTCTCAAACTTCTGCTGTCAACCATCCCTGCCCTCCCCCACACAGCCTCCTTCCTCACCACCTGTGAGGATGACTATTTGCTTTTCCCTGACATATTTACTCCTTCTTTCCCTTCCTTCACTACCTCTGCTTCTCAAAAGAGCTCAAAGGAAATCAGTCACATTACCAAGCAGTAATGAATTACCAGAATTAGGTTATAAAGTGCAAACTTTGACCTTCTGAACAAGACAGAAGCAGCCCAATGACCAGAGCTGAAGCGGAGGTCAGAACCAGACCCACCCGGTAAAAGTGACCAGGTGCCAATCCCTGAGTGGTACAGTGGAGCTCCTAGGGGTCAGAACTGGTTCCCTGGCCCAGAGCAGGGAGAGGTCTGAATGGAAGAGCATGTGCCCCAGCTGTGTGGAAGGGAGGAAATGAGGGGGTGGGTATTGGCAGGGAGCAGGAACCACTCAGGGTTGGCAGGAAGGGGATTTGGTCATCGTGTAGCACTCCCTCCACCTCTCAATGGGAATAATACTCCTTTTAAATTTTTTTTATGATAGTCACAGAGAGAGAGAGAGAGAGGCAGAGACACAGGCAGAGGGAGAAGCAGGCTCCATGCACCGGGAGCCTGACATGGGATTCGATCCCGGGTCTCCAGGATCGTGCCCTGGGCCAAAGGCAGGCACCAAACCGCTGTGCCACCCAGGGATCCTCTTTTTTTATAAAAATTATTTTTTATTTTTTATTTATGGAATAATACTCCTTTAGGAAGCCCATTTCATTTCCAGGAAGACTTTCCTTTTATTGAGGCTAATTCTGTTCTGTCTTCTGAAGCCACACAGAGGAAAAGTCTAGAGTGGAAGTCTTTTTGATAGAATAGCCCTGTAAAGGTATGAAAATATGGATCACAGAACACCTCATTTCTTGATGAATTATCAAGTTCCTGCAATAGGTCCTTGGGTGAGATGGCATGGAAAGCCCTACACCATGCTGGATGCTCCCCCTGGGACCAAATCCACTTTGCCAATGCCCACCTTAAGCTGCTGTGCCGTGAACATCACGTTGCACATGTGAGCTCTTCCAGGCACAGTACAACTGTGATCAATGTCATTCTGGTCAATAGACTCAAGATCTTATTTTGCTTCTTGGCATCTGTGTAGACTCAGACTGAGGTAGCCTTTTTCCAGAAGCTATGGTGTAGGAATTGAGTTCAGAGGTCAGTGAGACCTTCCTGATGAAGCAACATCAGCTTCCACTCCACTCTTCAAAGCCCCCCAGCCTGTGGCCCATCTCAGGACAAGTCATTAGTAGCAGGGTATGTTAGTCAAACACGTGTCCACCCCTCCAGTTTCTTCTTTTGGTCTTTCCTTTTGATTCCACTCATTGAACCCTGAGCTCAACAAAGCCCTCGATTTCTGTTGGTCTTGCCCTCCCATGAGGACCTACTACTTTTTGCTGCAAGCTGCCTTTCCTGCTAGTGAATTTGCAGCACTCTGGAGTGCTTATGCGATCACCCTCCAAGGGTCCCCAGAGCTCCCAGCTCATGCAGCTGAGCCCCTGACCCTGGAGGGTGGAAACTCCAGGTCCTGCCACTCTGGGATGGGCTGGCCATTCTGGCACTCCAGGGACTGAAGATGTGGCCACATCTGTGCTGGGGTAAGTGAACACCTATTAAAGGATTATTGGCTGTAAGGAGCCACTCCTGATTCTGGTTTGATTGGAAGGGGAATTAGGGACTCAATTGCCCTAGCCAGGTGCCCTCCCCAATGTACCTACTATGATTCCACATCAGATTGGAGGAGTCAGGAATTTCAGCCACAACTGTAGGCCCCATCCAAAACAAAGCAATCATGAGATGAGAGGATGACTCTGCTGTCAGGGGACAGAGTTGTCACTCAGGCTCAGGACACAAGCTCCACACCCTCAGAGAGACCTGGGAAAGGCCCCTCTCAGCCCAGACCTTTCCTGATCTTCTTGTAGGGAGAACCAGTCCTTTTCCTCCCCTTCAGGTCTTTCTCTACCTCAGCCAGCCCTTCTTCCACAACAGCTACATCTTCTCATTTTTTTTTTTGCAACTGTTACTACCTCTCAGCAACAGCAGCTACAACCAGTCCCAATGACTGCTTACCCAAGGGGCACCACCAACAGATCATTTCCAAGCTTGCTGGCACCCACCATGCTTCCTCCTAATGTACTGCTCCTAGTAAGCCCAGCACCACCACCACCACCACCCACCCAAAAAGTCAAGTGCTATCCCAGGCTCTAAACCATCTACCTGTCAAAACTCTCCTGCCTGTCCTCTACAACTTTCTACCCTTTCTTTGCTGTCCCTTCCCCACTCCCCACCTGGTCTGTCACACCTTTTCCCTGTTTGGAAATCACATTCCAGACCAGCCTCCTGTAGAAATGCGAAACCTCCATCTCAAGCAAAGCAAAGTAGAACCTACCCTCCCTCTCAGATACAAAAAATATTTGGCCTTGTCTATGCACCATAGGTTCTAGGGAGAAATTCCAAGCAAATTGGTCCAAGAATCAGAATATTCCAGAGGAAAATAGGAATTGTATACAGTGCCCTGGGCTATATCTGAAAAAGGGAGGTGAGAAACAGTGGATTTTCTCAGTTTAATGAATGAACACCCCACCGGAGAATAGCTTAACAACTCTTCAAACATGAAAGACGTGATCAACTATCCCCATCTTCACAGAAAGTAGAGGCAAAAGGTGTGGGCCTAAGTTGTAGAAGTAAAGTCTAGTAGATTTTAGATTATCACTATGTATATAGAAATACCATTCCCACCCATGATGTGAGACGATGCTGCTGGCCTTCTTGAGGGCTCACTAAGATGGGGACTCTTCCCAGTTAGAACTGACTTAAATGGCATTATCATATCCTTTTGCCCCACTTTCCAGTTACATATATATTGACTTTCTTTTCTAGTATTCACTAAAAATTCAACTTCAATTTGCGATAATAAATATAAAAAATAAGAGCAGGGGCACCTGGGTGGCTCAGTTGGTTGAGCATTTGTCTTCAGTTCAACTCATGATCCCAGGGTCCTGGGATCAAGCCCCTCGTTAGGCTCCCTGCTCAGCAGGGAGTCTGCTTCTCCCTCTGCCCACTCCCCCAACCCGCTTATGCTGTCTCTCCCTCTCTCTCTGCCTCAAATGAATGGGTAAAATCTTTTTAAAATAATAATAAATAAGAGCATTTTAAAAGGCCAGTGCATGACACAATGAACTAGCTCAAGAATTCATCTGGACCCAGGTCCCTATTGAAAAGATGGATCTGAAGATGCTTTTGAATTATCAAGTCAACAGATAGTTCAAACTTGGAAAGGCCTGACAAAAGCCAAAAGAAATAGGAGCCATAACTCCATCTGAAAAAGCATAAATCTGATGCAAATGAAAGTGATACTGCCTTGGGGGGAGGAGGCAGAGAGGCAGAGAGGGATGTTTCTATTTCTGCATATGGTTAGACCAAAAGTCAATAAATAAAACAATTAATAGAAGAAGAAATCCGATTATAAGAGTGCTTGCCTCTAGGGAGGTCTCTTCTTCTCTTTTGTCATAAACATAAGGAACGAGAAGATAAAATCTAGCCAGGCTCAAGATCCCCAGAAATTTAAGCCAATACCCCTCCCCCATTTGACAGATGGGAGTCCTGAGGCCAAGAAAGATCAAACAACTTAGTTACAGAGTCCAGACTGAAACCCAGGGCCTCTGATTTCTAGTCACTGGCTTTCTTCATTCTATCACATTGCCAGGGAGTTCAGTCAAGAAAAATAGGGTTAACATCCTGAGGAAATAATTCTGCAGAAGCAAAAAGCTGTATGCCCAGGACTCTTCACTGTACTGATGAAGTGGGAAATTTGAATGTTAAACAGGAAATGGTTAAGTAAATTATGTTGCTTTGAAAGTGATTACAGTGATTGAAAATGAGGATTTAGGAGGCTTTGTAGAGACATAATGTCCAGATATAATGTTAAGTAGAAAAAAGTAGGGTACAAAATCAGAGGCAGGATAGTGCTAGTCACACCTGAGTGAATCTCAGTTCTGCCCCTTATGAGCTCTGTGGCCTCAGGGAAATTACTCAACTATTCTGAATCTCCAGAAGAATAGTAGTATCCATCTCATAGGATTGTTTTGCACCACCATAAGGGAATGAATGTGAGAATCACGTCTTCATATAGAAATGTTCGATTTCTGTTATCATAATCATATATTCAGCTTTGAACTGAACAAGAGTCCATTTGGAAAAGCAGTTGGAAAGGACTGGAAGCTGATAAACAAAAATGAAAACAACCGCAAAAGTAGAATGGGATTATAAATATGCATGTTTTTTATTTTCTCTAATAATGTGATAACCATTTTCCAATAAAAAGAAACACATTTTAAATAGGGACCTCAAAAAAAAAATCCCATTCTTGGGACCTGGCTCTTTTAGTCTGTTCTTTCCTCCAGAGGCACCCTAGATTCCCAGCACCTAGCTTCCTAAGATTGCTGTGGTATCTGTTGGTGGACAAGGTCAAGAAGGGCCTGGATCCCTTGGAAAAGGCAAGGTGGGGTGGGGTGGAGGGGTGACAGCACAACCCATTCTAGAATCTAGAATGCTTTGCTCAGACCAGACCCTGAGAGAACTTTGTAGCTACTAGTTGAATCAGATTCTTTCATTCACGTGTGCATACATGCATGCATTCACTCACTCATTCGAACACTCTTTGGGACCACTGCTGTATGCAAGGAACTGTGCTAGGGGCTTTTAAAGAATTAGACTGACCCACTGGATGAATTTGGAACAATCTCCATTACACAAGTGAAAAAAGCAAGCTTCAGAACACTGTGCATAGAATGCTACCATTTGTATTAAAAATAGATATATAAATATACATATTTATAAACTTGTAAATGCATAGAATTGCTCAGAAAGGGTACACAAGATCTAGATAACAGTGATTAATTCTGGAGGTGGGCTGGGGAGCTGAAGGCTGACCTCCGATAGGAAGCTTACTTTGCACTGTATATTCTTTTGTATTGTTTGGATGTCTTACCATGTATATGTATTAATTTTTTAAGAAAAACAACAAAATTTTTTTTAAAAAAACAAGGAAAAGAAAGTGCGCCCAGAGCTGAGTATACAGTGGTGAGCAGGGCAGGCAGGGGGTTCCTCTGTCTCGGGGAAGGCAAAGTGTGTCAAACTTGCTAAGCCACGACCATTAAGTTTTCAAAACCAGACTGTTTACATAAGTTAAGGGAACAGTTCTTTCTACACCAATTATAGTAATTCGGCACATCGTTTTACAGAGATAAAGCAGTTGGAAAATAAATACTAGTCATCTGTCAGGCCTTAGAGTGTATTAAGTTGTAGTTTCTACAAGGATGGGGAGCTTATCTGTTTAACTTGATCAGTAGAGCATTCACTCCAGCTAACATGTACATAAGCGCTTGTTACAGCATTTGCTGATGATAACAAATGATAATGATAGCACACTCATTAAAAACATCTTTAAAAAGAAAAGATCAGAAGATATTGGACCCTGAGGGAACCATACTTTCTGGGATGCCCCCCCCCCCAAAATGATGGTCTTCAAAGGCAAAACCCCAGTGTAAATGAAAGGTCATGGAAACACTGCCTGTGCTTCAGAACGTCACACACAGAGGTTTTGCACAAGGTTCTCCTTGGGATGACTAGGCACAGATGGACTCCAAGGAGAACCTGGCACCCCAACCACAGGAGAGGTAGGAAAGCAGGTGTCTGGATGGCTACAAAGTGCTGACATACTGGGAGCTGGCCAGAGCAGCCGGGTCACTAAGGCAGCACAGGGGTTGACGTTGTGGACTTTAGAACCAGAAGGCCTTGACTCAGCAGCAGCCCTTACAGGTGGCCCAGCAGGTTATTTTACCTCTCTGAGCCTCAGTTTTCTCTTGGGAAATGGAAGGGGGGGTAAGCTGTGAGAACCCTGTGGTTATGAAAATCACTGTGAAGTATTTAGCAAGATGACGTGCTAGAATTGTCACTACTGCTACACAGTGAATAGGTGTCCCAGATCAATAGTAACTGCTCACTCACGGGGATCCAAGTCTGATGGCAGGGGAGGTGCACTCCACTCTCCACACCTTGAAGGCAAGAATCTGTCACATTTATATAATTTCTCACAAACGGGGTGGGAGGAGCTTCCACCCTCACCATCTCACAAAGCCCATGAAGCGAGTGGGAAGGGAATTACTAGGACTATTTGGAGGGGAGGCGCGAAGTGAGGGGGTTTGTTAAGAGCTGGTTAAGGGCAGAATCCAGGTTGTGGGTCCCCCCTCTGCCCCCAGCGGGTTCCTGGTGAATAGCTTGGCACTCTTTCCACTCTGCATTCCCAGGAAGGAGAGGTAGATCCGGGTCAGGACAGGTGGTCGAGCCTGCAAGTTTACCTTCCCTTACCCACTACCCCCAACTCCAGCAACCACTGCTGGCAAGCAGGAAGTGATCCAACAATCCATTTCAAACCCTTCCCAGAGCCTCCTTGATAGTGTTTCTGTGAGTGGACCACAGGTTGGGGTGGGCACCTGTAGTGGAATTAGGAAAGGGCCAACAGCCAAGAGGGCATGAACTCAGGCTTTGCACATGGCCTCACTGCCTGCTTGGGAAAGTGGGACACAGTGGCCTTGCCAAGTGCAGCAATTCTTAAACAGCAGATTCTCTGAAACTGGGGCAAGCACTAACTGTTCCCGGTGCCATTAGCATCTCACTAAAAATCTGGCATTTGACAGAAAATGTACTTTTTCTTCTGTTGTGAAAAGGTCAGGTGTATTTATCTGACTTAACAACTTACAAGTGATATTCAATGACTTCCTTGAAAGAGCACCTCTAAGAACTCAGCCAGCACCCACTTGCCTTTGCTGCGCTAGATCCTGCTGAGCCCAGCCCCACACCCCTGGCCCTGCAGGGCTGTATCAGAGGCGTGGGCCAGAGGTCAGAGGGCACGCCCACACAGCCTGCCCCTGGTGCTTGGTCAGGCCCTAACTCTGCCACCAGTGAAGACAGCCCAACCTCCCGTCTAATCCTGAGAGTTCCCTGCAGCAGCAGCAGCAGTACCAAGGCATCTTGAATTCGGCAAGATATCACAGAATTCCTCCCCTCTATCCCTTCCCCCACCCACCACCACCAGTAAAGGGTTCTCTTAGGTGGAAAATCCATCTGTAGGAAAGAGGGAGGTGCCTGAAACATTTCAATAGGCCCTAATGCCAACTCTGCTAGCCCCAGGGAGACCTGGCAGGTGACCCTTGACCCTTCCCTCACGCCCTCAGAAGGTCTCTAGAAGGCTGAGGACCGAGCTCCTGGTTTCCTAACTACAGCTCCGGAATCTAGAGAGGACCTTTCTGGGACAGTAGGAACGTTGCTCTCCCTCAGAGATGGGACAGGAAGGGAAGTCTGGGAGAGACTCTCCAGGGGAGCAGGGTAGGGCCAGGCTCACTTGAAGAGGAATACAAGAGCCTACCTGCATGGTAAGAAGATTTTTTTTATTTGAAATATAGTCTGAGCAACATGAGTGTAGCCGAGAGGAGGAGGGGCTGGCCTGCCTGGGGCAGCAGCCTCTCTAATGGCACAGGAGAGAAAGAGTCCAAATATTCCAATGTCTGTGTACCCCCAACCTCACTCATCAGGAAAGGCAGAACAGCAGCAGAACAAAGACGCACAGCTCCTTCTGAAGGGTCTGCCTGCCCTGGCTGTATCTCCTGCTCTCCTGGGCTCCAGAGGTGTGCTGCAGAACCTTCTCCCACCCACACAGACAAGAGGAGCCAGTGTGACAATTAATTCTCCAGGACTACTTTTTGGGGAAAAGAATCAGAGAAGACAGGAAGGAAGGGCGAGGCGATTGAGGGCCCTCACCAAGCCAGCCTGGGCCCAGCTCTCTAAGAGGGACCGTGCCAGCACCCTCATCCCCCTTCTCCGGCTCTGCTGGCAGGAAGGAGAGCTGCTGTCTGCAGGCCAGGAGAGCTCCGAGGAGACCCCTGGCTGAAGGCAGCAAGCAGGAACCTTCCGGAAGTGCACAGCGCTGGGGGGGGGGCCTCAAGCCGAGTGGCCAGCATTGGGGCTGGGCCACTTAAGCAGCCTGGGGTTGGAAGGACACAGATAAGAGTTGGGGTAGCAAGAAGCAGCACAAAGCCATAAATAACAGAAGCAGATTTAGAACTGTGAGGGTCCTGGGTGATCGCACATTTTCTGGGGCCGGGGGACACCCAGCACCCCGCAGCTCGGGGCAGACACTGCTCCAGGGCATAGCTGGCCACACTCACACCGGGGCAGAGCCTTTTATTTCCCACTGTCCAAACAGCAGACGGAGGACGCTGTGGCATCACCCGGACACACGCACTGTAGAGCCTCTGGTCACAACTGAGGGGATGGTGCATGGCTGTCCTGGTCCTGAGAGGCCTGTGGTTGACTCTGAGCATCTTGGGTACCGTCCTCCTCAGAAGCTGGGCCTAGTGATCTCGCCTCTGGGTCACCCAACAAAGGCTCTCCAGCACATTCTTCTAGTCCGTTCTCCCTGGTCTCCATGGACACCTCCTCCCCGGAGCCCTCCTCTGGCTCTGCTGCCTCCACAGCCACCTCTGCTGCCTCCTCCTCCTCCTCCTCCTCCTCCTCCTGGTCTCTCACCTTGTGGACGATAAAGAGGTGGCGGCTGAGGGAGCTGGCAGAGGTGTAGCACAGGCCACAGAGGAGGCACTGAGCTGTGGAGTTGTCCGCTTGGTGCTGAGGTATGTGGCTCTGAAACTCGAGCCCTGAGTCTGTGGCAAAGCTACATTTCGCACACTGGAACAGGGACTTGTGCCTTTTGGTGGAAGAGACGGTTGTGCCATTGCTGGTGCCTGGAGTGTCCCCAGCTCCGCTGCCTGGTCTTTTCAGATGGCTCACCTGGAAAGGAAGATGGTGTGAGTCGGGGCCGAGCCCCAGACTGGACTCCCACACCTGCAGTGTGGCCCACGGACTTGCAGAATCACCACCCAGGCCAGGCTGCTTGCCCCAGCCCTGAACCATGGGTTTATATTTGGCTTCTTTCAGGTTTTTCAGTTTGCTTTTGTTTTTTTCTGATGTAAGATGTGTCACCACAATCTGAAGATATGGGAAGGATAGAAAGAAGACCAAGTCCCTCCTACCCCACTCCCCAGGCTGCTCTCCAGAGAACACCCTATCACCTAGGTTCTGTGGCTCCTCCTTTTTGCACGCACAAAGATAAAATTGCTGCCTTTTAAAAAATGATAGCATTACATGCACACTTTTCTTCACCCTGCTTTTCCTACTTAATGACATGTACTGGCTGTCGTTTCCATGAGGACATACAGACACTTCGTTCTCCTAATAGTTGCACACCGACTCGTCACAGGGGTGAATGGTCCCCACTGGCAGACGTTTAGGTGCGTCCTTCATTATTTGCTGGGCACAGCCCTGCAGTACAGTCCAAGTGAATCCTTGCGCATACCTTTTCATGCCCGAGGCCAAAGATATAGGACAGATAAATCCTAGGGACAGAATTGCTGGATCAAAAGGCATGTATGTTTGGAGGGTGGGGGTGTGCATTTTAATCACAGATGTTGCCAAAACGTCAACTGACAACCCACCTGCTATGTGTGAAAGGGCTTCTGCTGACCAACGCCCTTTTCTGAGTAGCCAAGAAGGAATGCCCTGAACTCCAGGCAGCTCTCAGAATTTCCCAGACATGTCTGACCCTCTGAGGAGCAGCTCTCCCTACCAGGGGGAGCCTACTGTGAGGAGGGAACTATGCTGTTTCAGAAGTTCACCAGAAATGGGAATAGGGCATGGAATAGGGATAAGGTAAAAAAAAAAAAAAAAAAAAAAAAGAGGGTCCAGGGTAGCAGGAATCTAGGCTGGCTCCACTCATAATGAGAGACAGAGAGAGAGAGCGTTTGTGTGTGTGTGTGTGTGTGTGTGTGTGTGTGTGTGTGTGTGTAAGAGAGAGAGCGCGCCACATGGCTAAGGAACATCACAGTGACAGGGAAGCCACAGGAACAAAAGACTACTGGGCAGTCTCCCGGGTCTCTGTCCCTGTCCTTTACCTGTGCACAGTCCCCAGGAGGGTCATGCCAGACTAGAGAATGACCACATCGAGGGAAGCTGTCAGTGCTGGTTGCTCCATGACCACCATTACCAGTGGGCTCCCTGTAACCCTCCTGCTGCCCCTCCAGCTCAAGGGGCTCACTGAACAAGCTATGCCAGTGGCAGGGCCCACACTCACCTGAGGGGAATGTCCACCCGGAGGTCTGACTTTGGACGTCTGGCTCAAATCAGGGTTTCTGATACCATGCATAAGGCTGATGTGGCTCTCTAGGAGGGAGGGCCGAGGAAAGCTAGGGCTGTCCTCTGTGCAGTACCTGCAGAGTACAGCCCCAGAGACATTGTGTAAGACGACAGGCTCCAGGGAGCCCAGTGCACACCTGGCAGGGAGGCAAAGTGGGAGTGGCTTCTGGCTCCAGAATAGAGTCTGGGGCAGGCAGAGAGCTGGCTGGGTGGTCATCAAGCTGGCTGAGTAGTGCTGGGCACTCCCCAGAGAAGTTTAGCTGACAAGGTGGCAGACAACAGCAAGTCAGAATATTTGTGCTGGTCCTAAGCCATGATCTTACTCTCCACTCCCTGATATCACTGCCCAGAAGTCCAGGTGATGCGCTAGTGGTCAGCAAGGAAGAGGTCAGGGTATGTCCTGAAGCAGAGACATGATGTCAAAGCCTCTTGGCCAGAGAGGACACATGGTCCCATCATCACCACACCTCCTAAACCTCAGAGCCCGTCACACTGACTAGCAGTGCAACCCACGGTGAGGGAGGTGGGAAAAGACTCAGGAGCTACCAGGTTCTAGAAGCTGGTTCCCAACCAGCCCTGCCTTCTGACGTAGCCACACCATCTTTCCATTAGAAACTTGCTTATCTCTTGCTTCCGACCCTTAATCTCCCAGCAGAGAAAAGCCCCAGTGATGCCATGAGCAGTCTCTGAATTTCAGGCTTCCTGGCTCCCATCTCCAGAGACTCACCCACAAGTGTAGACTTTCTTCACTGTGTCATGGTTGTTGCGGATGTGTTTGCGCAGGCTGTTGGGGGTGTGGAAGGACTGTTCACACTGCCGACATGGGTACCGCTTCAGCGTCTAGAGGAGATGACAGGATGCAAAGCATCAGAACTATAAAACAGGTCTGGGTGTATCTTTCTACTCAGGTGATGTAGGCAGAGAGGAGGATGCCCCCAAAGATCTCAAGAACTGTGGTACCCACCCTGCCCAGGCACCGGGAACCCTAAGGGGTCAGCCACACAGGGGGGCTCTGACCCCACAGGAGGCAAGTCCAGAGAATCTGGCACCGCACTGACTGTGTGAGGACACTTACCCGACCGTGGCTCTTTTTCATGTGGGACACATAGTTCTCCCGGTCAGGAACCCACTCCTGGCACTCCTGGCAGGTCCAGCCAGCGTTCCGCAGCCGGGGCCTGGCTTCAGCCCTGCGATGGGCCTCGGGCCGGCCCCAGCGGCTCGAGGGCAGGGAGCTGCCCCGAGCAGCCACACTTGTGGCCGGGGGCTCGGTGGGAACCCGAGAGCCAGGGCGGGTCGAGGACGTGTCCGATGAAGACTGGAGGCTTGACAGCTCGTCCACATTTCGGGGAACACCGTGAGTGCTCTGGGGATGGGGAGAGCGATTACTGACTGGGCAAGGGGAAAGATGCACAGAGTCAGACCCCCGACCTGAGGCATGTGCCCTCCTCCCCAGCCTCCTTCCCCTGGGCAGCCCACCTTGACATGCTGCATCAACTCTGGCTTCTGCAGGAACAAGAGTGGGCACTCGGGGCACTTGAAGACGCCCACCTGCGTCTTGCTAGCATTCTGGTAAAAATGCTGCTGAATGTGCCTCTTCTTGTTGAAGACCATTTCACAGGAGCACTTATAAATGAGCCTGATGAGACAAGCCCCAGGGAGTGAGATGGCCAGGCCCCCTGGGCAGAACCTCCACCCCATCTGTGCTCTCTCTGAACCAGGGTCAGGTCTGGGGAAGCACTACTCAGAGCCGATGTGTATACTCCCCTGGCTCAGGACGTCTTCAGTGAACCCTGGGCACCTCCACCACCAGCCCCAGCTCCCTGGTCCATCCCAACACCTCCCCCTATAGCACCCAGACCACTTAGCTCAAGCCCACAGGCCTGCTGGCCCTGGAGCTTCACTCACTGGGAGGGTTTGTGAGGTTGGGTGGGGTGCTGAGTGGCACTGTGGTCTGCAGTACTGCTCGCAGTCTTGAAGGCCATGGGACAGAATGCACATTTGTGGAAAACCTGGCAGTGTCGCTCCTGGATGTGGCTTTTCAGCAAGGCCAGGGTCAGATGGACAACCCCGCAGTGGATGCACCTGGATGATAGGAGTGGCAGGGTGTGGAAGGCATGTCAGACCCAGAAGTAGTGGTGGAAAAGGAGGGATGGAGGTCAAGAACAGAGCCATCTTGGGGACACCCTCTCCCTCTCCCTTGAGCACTCTATCCTCCACACATACATTCTGAGCTCCTGCTGCCATCTGGCATAGTGGGGTCACCCAGGCTCCCCAAGCCCAAGGCTATGCCTGGTATAGAAGGGGGAAGAAACCCACCCCAGTCCCACCCCACTCCTCAGTGAAACCAAAAATCTGAGCCCAGCTAAGAGAAGCTGGTGGGGAAGGCGGGGGGGGGGGGGTGATGTCCAAAATGACATAAACAGCATCCTTTGAAAGCCTGTGCCTTCCCACAGGCTGGTACCAAATGGGCAGCAATGGCCACTTAATAAAAGTGCTGTCAGGAAACACTGCGCTCACCATAGCAGGCCTTAAAGCCCAAGAAGGAATCCTCTGAAGCAGCGCTATCCAGTGGAACCTGTGGTAGCAGCTGGAATGTTCTATACTGTACTGGCCATGTGGCAATTTAGATTTAATAATATACAATGCAATAGCCAGTCATACTGGCCACATTTCAAGTGCTCAGCAGCCCAATGTGGTCGGTACAGCTTTGGATCACATAGCTCATAAGTGTTGGGAGGGTCTCCCTGCTGGCATTGTGTATAACTTTTTGCTTCTTTTTCTACCAAGTTGTATTTTTCAAGCTTTGTTTGGTGAATATACCACTTGCATGATGTAGGAACTGTCTTAAAGAATTTCTTCTGAAACTGAGGCATGTTGAACTCTTCTGCTGACTTCACAATCTCTAAGAATCTGGCCCTCTCCTTCCTCAGACTCATAGGCCTCCATGATCTCCATGCCATCCTCCATCCCTTCCAGGACCCAGACCACCCCCTCACGCGTTCCTTCTTTCCTCCTATCTACATCCTCCCCCACCCCACCCCCATCTCCCCTCCATGAGGAAACACCTTCCCTGTGCCCAGCCATTCCTCTCAGGACAACTCTGGTCTCCCTTTGGTTGCAATATTGCCTGACCCCATTACCCCGAATTCCCAGTAAACACTAGAAGAGGGGCTGTTGCTTCACTGAAAAAAGGCACATCTTCACTTAAAAATTCTTTGACTCCCAAATAGAAGCCTTCAATTCAGTACATTAGCCTGTTTTCACAGTCCACACACATCATCACAGAATCCTATCTGGTCCTTTTCGTTTTTCTTCCTTTTCTGTGTGTTGGGAGGGGTGGGAGATGGAACTACCTCTGCAAACTTAATTAGCAACAAGGAGCAACCCACAAAACCAGAAAGCTGTTTGCAATGATCTCTGATGTGCAATCATTACTAAATTTGTACATTCTCTAGAGCTTCTATACAAGCTACTGAATTATATTTTCTTTTCTCTCCTGCTGAACAAAATAGTGACCAACTTCTAGTACACAGAAGTACTGCCACACCACAATGTATTGTGAGGAGAAAAAAAAGTCCACATATTTCCAAATTCGTCCAAAGTGGCCAAGTACACCTGATATGTATAAAGAATCTTAAAGTGTCCATATTTGTGTAGTGTGACCAAACTTCAGCAGGAGCAACATACACCCTTCAAAAATGTGCCTAAAAATCCATTCCATTTACCGAATGGACATTCTTCAAAGAAGCATAAAAGGGGTATAAGAAAGTAGAGCATAAAGGGGTAAAAGAACACACACCAACCTCAGTGAAAGACTAAGTATGGCTTACAAATTGATGAAAAAAGGTGCAGAAGAGAAATCTGAACCCACAATACAACTTCTTTACCAATTAAGAGAAAATACACAATAATAGAATCATAAGCTATGAAATACGTAAAGTTTTAGAACAGACACAGTGGTATAATATTTAATTGTCCCAATAATCCCAAATAAGAAAAAAATGACATATCATTAAGAATAACTGAAACTTGCTCCATTGTGACATCACTTGCCACTCTCCAAATTTTCAACAAAGAGTAGAATAATTCATACAATTCTAAAGTATGTGTATAATGTATATACATATTTTATATGAAACACATATACATAAAACATATATATAATGTACAGGCTTTTGACAATGTCTTCAAGAAAAAGCAAAAATAACACAAAACAAAATACTACTGTAAGACTCTGTAGTACAACTCAATGAAATGGAGCATAGGTACACTTTCAGGAATCACTAAAAAATATAATACCCACAGAATGGGAGGAAATATTTGCATATCATGTATCTGACAAGGGACTTAAATCTAGAATATACAAAGAACTCTTACAACTCAATAGTAAGATAATAAATAACCCAATTTAAAACCAAGCAAATATACATTTCTCCAAAGAAGATACACAAATATCAAACAGAAAAGATGCTCAACACTATGAGCCACTGGGAAAATGTAAATCAAAATCATAACAAGATGCCACCTTGCACCCACAGGGATGGGTCAGCAGAAGTCAGACAATAACATGTGCCAGCAAGGATGTAGAGAAATCAAAAATCTCATGCCTGCTGGTAGGAATATAGAAATGGTACAACTACTTTTGAAAATAGCCTGACAGTTCCTCAAAAAGTTAAACATAGAGTTATCAGTTGAACCATCTACTCTACTCCCAGGTATCCACCCAAAAAAATGTAAAAGATATGTCTACACAACAACTGATGCATGAAATGTTCATCAGTGGTATTATTCATAATGGCCAAAAGGTGGAAACCCAAGTGTCTGTCAACTGGTCATAAACAGATGACCAAATTGTGGTATATACAGACAGTGGAGTATCATTCAGCCATAAAAAAGGAATGAAATGCTGACATATTACAATATGGATGAATCTTGGCTAAAACTACATATTCTATGATTCCATTTCTATGAAATGTCCAAAATAACCAAATATATGAGGCAGAAAAGAAATGAGTGGTAGCTAAGGGATGGGGGTGGGGGATGGAAGAGTTATGAATACAGAGTTTCTTTCTGAGTGATGAAAATGTTCCAAAACTGGTTGTGACTGAACAACCCAGTAAATATACTAGAAACCATTGAATTGTACACACTACATGGCTGAATTATATGTTGTGTCTAAATAAAGCTGATACAAAAAATATGTGAATATCTGAAGATATTTTTTTTAAGATTTTATTTATTTATTCATGAGAGACACAGAGAGAGAGAGAGGCAGAGACACAGGCAGAGGGAGAAGCAGGCTCCATGCAGGGAGCCCGATGTGGGACTTGATCCTGGGTCTCCAGGATCACGCCCTGGGCTGAAGGCGATGCTAAACCGCTGAGCCACCGGGGCTGCCCAATATCTGAAGATCTTAAGTGCAACCAATAGTGTACTAGTGTATACATCTTCTGAGTTCAACCACGGGTCACTGAAGATTTTAATGTCAAGATCTCCAGTAAGCCCTCTGGCTGAATCACATTACACTTTTCCTTACAAAAAGGCTTGACAGGGACACCTGGGTGGCTCAGCAGTTGAGCATCTATCTGCCTTTGACTCAGGGCCTGATTCCAGGCCTAAGATCGAGTCCCACATCAGGCTCCTGCTGAGAGCCTGCTTCTTCCTCTGCTTATGTCTCTGCTTCTCTCTGTTTCTCATGAATAAATAAATAAAATCTTAAAAAGAAAAAAAGGCTTGACAAACTGAATTGCTTTTGAGACACTGTTTCTTCTTACTCTTGCAGATGAAAGGAAAGTAAAATATTGAGTTAAAAGACCAAGGGGGAAAAAAAAAGACCAAAAAAAGAATGCTATGAATCTGTGTCATCAGAAATTCTTTGACTTCAAAATTCAAAGATAAAAATTTAAGTACGGCTTGAATTTTTAGTGGATTGGACTTGATCTTGGAACAAGAAACAGCACACATGTAAATCAAAGTGAATGGTATTTCACTTTGATTTATAAATGTTACACAGTACTGTAAAAACACACATTCAGGTGTTTGGTTTAAAAATGTGGCTGATGGCATGGGGAGGGGGGGGGAGGGGAGGGGTGGGGAGAGGCACCCACCTGGCTCAGTTGGTGGAGTGTGGGACTCCTGATCTCAGGGTTGTGAGTTTGAGCCCCAAGTGGGCGATATAGAATACGTAAATAAAAAACAACAACAACAAAAGTGACCTGGGATGCTGCCAAGCAATGCTGTTCTGCAACATGGTGGCAAGGGCTCTGTATAACTTATCTCTGGTTTGTCTGCTTCTCCTGCACTTTAGGGGACCCATCTCCCATAACACACAAAAGCAGCCAGTCTACATTTGGAAGTGCTTACATGGGGACTGAAGCCTCAGAGCCCACACAGCCCCTCTCCACCCCTCTGCCCTGTCTGTGAGCTACCATCAAACTCAAATGCTTCTGCTCCCTAAAGCTCTCCAAGATCTACCTTCTCTGCATCCCTACAGTGGCTGTGCCTCTGCCCGAGCCCCCAGCCTCTTACCTGGACCATCACACTTGCCTCTCAACCAGTCTCTGGGTTCTGCCCTAACACACAAGTAAGCTTCCCAGAGCAATCTTCCTGAAGCACGGGTTTAGCCAGACCACTTCCCGGCTACAGATCCATCTGGAGCCCCTCACTGTCCATTGGAAAAAGTCTAAGTGTCTGCCAAGGAATACAAGGTCTCACCTGGGCCTGGCCCGACTGATGCTCTGGTCTCATTTCTCACCCATTCCCCAGTTCCTCTTGACCCCCTTTCCACCAAAATGTCCATCATTCCTGTAACCTATCAGGTATACTGGCATCCCTGCTCATACCCTTGTCAGACATGCTCTCCCCCTTTCGTTTGCCTGAAAACCTCCTAATATCCCTCTGACCCTTCCCCTACTGTGGGCCTCACCACCCCGAGTTATGATTACATGTATAGGTCTGTGACCTACCACACTGATAGCAGGGGCTGTGTCTTGATGCCCTCTGCATCCTCAGTGTCTGGCATAGCGCTGACGACAGTAATAAGTACTCGAAAAGGAAGTTAAGAAATGAACTAAATCAATCTTTTTTTAATTCCAAAGAGAAGAAAACCTTACTAAATTTGGACAAAATTAATTTTCTGGTGTGAAAGTGATACCATAAAAACATCAGAAGATGAAACTCCCAAATGCAGCATATCAGAAAAGGGGGCCTCACTGAGTTGATGTAAATGTTAGAGATCAATCAGTATGTTTGGAAGGTGTTTTCTTCCCCATTTTGATCTTTTTCCTGAAAATGACTTCTTGTCTATATTTATTTGACATGTGGAGAAGATTCAGTTTAAAATAGTTTTCTTGGTTTTACTATGAGGCTCATCATTTTTCCATTTTCAGGTTGTGCTTGTTTCTCACAAACTGACAAAAACTAATCAATGTGAAGCTACAAGAGCCCTTTGCATTTGGCTCCAAACTTTGCATTGTAGTTCCATCTGTTAGTGGAAACTGAGAACATCTAAAAGTACTGCAATTAGTACATTTATTATTGAAATGGGACTTTAAATTTAATATGCCAAACACAGTAACTCTGTGATCAGATTAACTTTATATACTTTTAAAAACCAATCTATTCTCCCTAAACTGTCCCTTCAAAGCTCCTTTTTCATGTTTTAGTTCCTTTTAACTCCTTGTTCTTGTCCCTCTCACTCTTCTTGCACTCCACAAAATAAAAAGACCTATCTGAATACCAACTAACATTACTGTCTTAGTATCCTGGAGCCCAGGCCCCTTAAAACTAAAGCTCATACTGAAATGAGTTCTGGCCCCAGAAAAGGACCAGCCATCAGGCCAGCCCAGGACAGCAAGCCAGGCAGCACCCACCTGTAGCCCACCTTGCGGGCATAGTGCAAGCAATTTTCCTTCACGTGGGTCTGGAAGTAGGCGGAGCGGCAGAGGGCTCCACACTCCGGGCAGCAATAGGGGGACTTGTGGGCGTGGATCCGCTGGTGGGCACAGAAACTGCACTGGTTGGGCAGCAGCATCTGGCACACCTGGCAAGTCTAGGAAAAAACACCGAGAAAGTAATTCAGCCAGATGCCACAGCTGCCGCAGGCTCGTGGCTCTCCAACCACAGCGGTCCAGCTTTCCTAGAACACAGGTCAGAATAGCCGCTCACCACACATGCTCTCCTCCAACCCTCCCAGGATACTTGGCACCCCCAGGCCTCAACAGAAGTGCTGATACACCCAAGCAAGCTTTGCCTCTCTCCTTATTCATCAGAGACAGAACTGATGCTATGTTTCCAAAGATCATACTGCTTCTAGGACTGTGAGCGCTCCTTCCCTCAGGCTTCTCCGAAGACCACCTTTTCCTTACCAGAGGCCAAAGGCACTTCTTGAAGTCTCAGAACTCACTACACTGCCAGACCCCCCAGGGCCTCTGTCCCCACTCATCAGAGGCAGTTCCTGCTCAGCATCTCTAGTCTGATGGCTCGGGGACTTCCAGAGCAGATCCGATTGGCTCCCAGAAGACCCCAGTGCAGGTGTGGACTGAGTAGTCTTGCCAGTGTCCACTCCCTCAGGCCTGTTTGCCCACTCGGGGGTGTCCTGAGCAACAGGCTGACCACATATGACCACAAAGAAGAGCAGAGTGGGCAACAGCTCCTTCACTCCCAGACTCAGGAGAGAACCGGGGCAGCAGGGTGGATAGTACAACCACTGCTGCTCTAGCGGGCACAGAGCACACAGCCTAGAGGAAGCAGCAGACTGTGCTGGTGCCTGCATCCGCAGAGCCCCCTCTAGGTCAAAAGGGGACCACAGTGCTCACTTTTCACCACAGGGGCCACTGACCCAGGCCCAGAGGAGGTTGCTTAGAGGAAGAATCATTAGGGACAACAGGAAAAGCAAAATCCAGAATATGGAGCCTCTACAGGACATACAACCCAGGTTTCTCAAAAAGTAGGCTTCAAGGGAAAAACAGAGAGAAAAAGGAAATTTATAGATTAAAAGAAGTTTAAGAGAACTTTTCACATTGCAGTGTATAGCACTTATTTGGACCCTGATTCAAGCAAGTCAACTGTAGAGAGAAATGAGACAATCAGAAATATTTGAACACTAACTTGATGATATTGGGACATCTGACACTTGGCATTAAGCTTTGATAATAAAAAGAAATTATCGTTATTATTAATTTTGAGATGCAATGATATTATGTTCATTTTCTTGCCAAGGAAAACCTGTATATTTTACAGATACATTCTGAACTATTATAGATATGGTGACGCTGGGATCTATTTAGAAATAACGCATGAGAGGGGGAGGGATGAGTGAGAAAATATGTAAAACGGGATGGCCAGGAGTTAGTAATTGTAAAAGAAGAGTTCATTATACCATCCTGTCCACTTTTACATATGTTTGGGACATTCCATAATAAAAAGGCTTTTTTAAAAAAAAAGATTACTCTAGGGGGAGCTGGGGTGGCTCAGTTAAGTGTCTGCCTTTGGCTCAGGTTGTGATATCACGGTTGTGAGATGGAGCCCACATCATGCTCTGAGCTCAACAGGGAGTCTAAGACTCTCTTTTCCTCTCCCTCTGCCCCTTCTGCCTCAGTGCTTGCGTGCAAATGAGCTCTCTCTCTCTCTCTCAAATAAACCTTTATATACATATAATATTAAACTAGAAAAACAAAAACATTCCCTGAAAATTGAAAAATAGAAACTAAATAGCCTAACAATGTATCAAGCTGGTGACATAACCATATAGAAAGAAGACTTGTTCCCAGTGACCTTTAAAATGCAGTATTTTGACTTATACATCCTTAATGTGATCTATTCTAAGAGTAGAAAGAACTGCAAATATACCTTTGACTTTATGCAGTTATCCTAATGTTTGAAATGATATTGGTATTGATATTTCAAAATTTTGCACATATATATGCATATTTATATATGGTAGGAAAGCCTTAGGAACCAAGATTTTCAGTATAAAATCAGTTACATAAAAACTATAATTTTACATTTGAATACCAGCATACTCATGATTTTTCTTTTTTTTAAAGTAGGCTCTATGCCTAATGTGGGGCTCATACAACCCCAAGATCAAGAGTTGTGTGCTCCACCGCCCCCCCTTTCTTCTTTTTAGAAACATATACTTCTAGGACACCTAAGTAGCTCAGTCGGTTAAGCATATGCCCTCAGCTCAGGTGGTGATCCCAGGATCCAGGGATCAAGTCCCATAGCTAAGCTCTCTGCTCAACAAGGAATCTCCTTCTCCCTCTCCCTCTCCCCATTTGTGGTCTTGCTCACTTGTTCTTTTTCAAATACATAAATAAAATCATTACCAAAACAATACATATACTTCTTGGGGTCCCTGGCTGGCTCAGTCAGAAGAACATGCAACTCTCAATCTTGGGGTCATGAGTCTGAGCCCCACATTGGGTGTAGAGATGACTTAAATAAGTAAAACTTTTTCAATAAACAAATAAATACAATAAAAACATATGCTTCTTAGCTCTGGCCACTCCAAAGGCCTAGTCGCAGATACACCCAGCAAGCATCTCTGATAGCCAGGACATGACATCTAAATACCATTCCTTAGGCAAGAAACCTGGCTCCTCCGAAGGATGGCCAATCGCCAAGTTTAGCACAAGAAATGTGCCCAGGACATCTTGTTGGGGCAGTAAGTAAGTGAGGAAGTTTCTCAGGCATCATGAGTTCACGTCCAGAGGACACAGGAGCCAGCTGGACGGCATTCCACAACTGAAGACAAAGCAGCCTGATCACGGAAAAGTGACTGAGCCCAACATACAAAACAGGTGAAAACCAATGAGTTCATTGTAACAGCCATAGAAAAGGCTGCCTCATACACATCAGGGTGCCTAAAGACAAAGTCAAACAGACAGACGAAACAGCAAATGACAGGTGCTGGTGGGAATGTGGAGACACTAGAACCCTTGTGCACTGTTGGCAGGAGTGTAAAATGGTGCAGCCACTGTGGAAAACAGTGTGTGTGTGGGCTCCTCAAAAGATTAAAAATAGAGTTACCATATGATCTAGACATTTCAACTCTGCGTACATACCTGAAAGAACTGAAAGCAGGAGCTCCAAAATATATTTGTACACCATGCTCATAGCAGCATTATTCAAGCAATACCCAAGAGGTGGAAGCAACCCAATGTCCCATCAATGGAGGAATGGATAAACAAAATGTGGTACAAACATGCAATGGAATATTATTCAGCCTTAAAAAGGAAGGAAACCCTGTCACATGCTACAACATAGGTGAGCCCTGAGGACATGATGCTAAACAGAACAAACCAGTCAGTCACAAGAAACAAATACTACATGATTCCACTCATGAGGTACACGGAGTAGTCAAATTCACAGAAACAGCGAGCAGGAGGGTGGTGGCCAGGGGCAGGGGGGGAGGGGAAACTGTTGAATGGGTATAGGGTTTCAGTTTTGCAAGATGAAAAGAGTTCTGGAAATTGATTGCACAACAGTGTGAATGTACTTAACACTACTGAAATGTACACTTAAAAAAATGGCTAAGGTGGTAAACTTTATGCTATATGTATTTTACCATAATTTTTTAAAATAACAGAGCCGGGCCTCTTAATACACTATTTGAGACTCAGGATATCAACTCACTACTGTAAATACTGTTAACTAAGGGAAACAAAGTAAGTAAATATCCCATTTTCCAATATAAACTATATTTTATTTCAAGGTAACCAAATAGCCCTCATCAAAGAAGGAAAGACATTTTATACAGAACTCCAGCTAATAACTGAGAAACAAATAATAATATTACAAAACACCTTTCTTCAACTCCTAATAAAACTAGTGACTCAAAGAGCAATCATTAATGAATACTAAAATAATTAGGTGAAGGGGAACTTTACGGCAAAGGGATCAGAACATCACCACCTAAACTCACTGATCATTTAGTATCATTACAAGTGAGACAATCAAGGACTCTGTGCCTCTCTGAAGTCACGAAATATGAAGAACATGATACTCCCCTCTGCAAAACTGCCTATTTCTAGTCTCTATCACCAATAAAATATGGGGTACTTAAGAACAAATTAATTGTATAAGGAAGCATCAGTCAAACCCATAATTGTCCTGAAAAATTGCAGAACACATGAACTAGTTTCTTCAACGAAGCAATGACATGATAAAAAAAGGTTGGGAAGGGCATCTGGTGGTGGAGGAGGAAGTGGTACTGTTCTAGACTGAGGAATTTAAGAGATAAACAAATGCTAACATGTGGGACACCTGGGTGGCTCAGTGGTTGAGCACCTGCCTTCGGCTCAGGGCATGATCCCAGGGTCCTGGGATCAAGTCCTGCATTGGGCTCCCCAGAGGGAGCCTTTTTCTCCCTCTGCCTATGTCTCTGCCTCTCTCTCTGTGTCTCTCATGAATAAATAAATAAAATCTTTAATAACAAAAACAAAAAACACATGCTAACATATGGTCCATGTTTGGATCCCAATTCAAAACAAGCCCAACTACAGAAAGATCATTTTTGACATGAAAGGAAAATCTAAATGTGAACTTGTCTTAGATAACATTTTTAAAAATATTTATTTATTCATGAGAGACACACAGAGGGGGGGGCGGCGGGGGGCGGGCAGACACAGGCAGAGGGAGAAGCAGGCTCCATGCAGGGAACCTGATGTGGGACTAGATCCCAGGACTCCAGGACCACGCCCTGGGCTGAAGGCAGGCGCTAAACCGCTGAGCCACCCAGGGATCCCTGTCTTAGATAACATTAAGGAATTGTTCATTTTGTTAGAGGTGACAATGACATTAGAGCTAAATAAAAGCTTAAGACAGAAGAAAGAGTCTCTCTATGCTGATGTCCTGCCCAGCATGGTGGCTGGGAATGTGAGAAGGACATTCCTCCAGCCCGGGCAGGGGGAGACTCCCAGGGAGAAGCCAAAGGCCTGTGCCCGCTCTCCTGCAGCCCCTACACCAACCTGAGTGAAGCCTAACCCCACCCTATCCATCTATCCCTTCCCTCGGTGTGGCCTAAAGCCTGGGTACCATCCCAGGAAACAAGTCCACTAGCTAGCAAGGTAAGGTTTTGATCCCAGACCTCAAGCCTGATCCTTTCCCTGAGATTCTGAGACCACATCTATCAGTGGGAGATTTTGTGAGAGATTTGAGCTGGGCTGAGAAAACCCTGACAGCCTTCCTGGGTACCCTCTCCCTTCTTGTCTGAGGGCTCTTGCCCAGCTCCTACTAGAGGAAAAGATGCAGGATGGGAGGGGTGTCAGCTGGTGAGGAACAGTGTGGAAAAACACCAAGTGTCAGACCTCCACTGACAATGCTTCTGATCACATGACCTAGAAGGAGCATTGAGTTCTGCAGGGACAGCTCTTCAGGGGACAGCAGGAAGGCTGAAGCCTCAGGGCAAAGGGCAGGGGTCACCACACTCCATCTGACTCATTGCAAACTGAGGAGAGAAGGTGAAGATGAGAGGGGACAGCGAGCATATGGCACCTTGCAGAAGGTCCACAGGCCACCAATCTTGCCTCATGTCTCCACCCCGATGCCCCCCAGGCTCCTCAAGTGCACTTGGCATTTTCCCGCACTTCTGTTCCCTACACCTGGAACATGCTTGTCCGTCCCCCGCCCCTACATTCCCTTTGCAGGTCCCACTCAAAAGTCCCGTCCATACAGCACCTGCCCTCTGCCCGGAGTCACCATGAGCGAGTCCCTGCAAGGCACTCTGTGCAGCCATGTTCACAAGGCTTTTAGCCCCAAACTTCATCTGCTTCACACTGGAGCAGCTGTGTAGCGAGCCCTGTCTCTGCTGGGCTGCAAGAGCTGACCAGGGAGCCTCCCAACACAGCGCTCACTTGGAAGGCTTTGCGCCAAGCTCATGGGCCAGCTGACTAGGAATGACCCAGGCCTCTGCTGAACCGGTGTGAAAAGGGCTGCTCTGTTTCCCTCCCAGGCATCTGCAGCCCTGTTCGAGGACAGGGGGCTCAGGGAGGGGGTGGGCTCTGGTCTCAGCTGGGTGGAAAAGAGTCCCCTGGAGGAGGAAGAAGAGAGACTTCTGGAGGCATGTCAGGAGGCCTGCTTTCACAGGACCTTGCAAACACAGACAGCCACCGACACAGAGGTGCCAATGGGTATTTTCAGCACAGACTGTCTTCAAAAAAAAAAACAAAAACAAAATCCAATCTCATCAGCATAACCAAAAATTGGAACAAGCTGATGAGCGTGGTGGCCTCCCTAAAGTGGTGGGGACACAGATGAAAGAGGTCCTGAAGGCCTGTGCCACAGCACGTGTGCCAGTCCAGTCTCCTTCCTCGGTCCTACCTCGGCACTACCTCGGCCTAATGCAGTGTCCCCACAGGGAACTGCCCCAACAACACACAGTGCCGAGGGTACAGACTTAGGTGTGGGGCAGGGACACACCTCCCCATCCCCAAACTCTCTGGGCACATGACGAGACCATACTGACACCTCCCAGAGACCAGCCCAGGCCAGACAAGGGGCCCTGCTCACCCAGCAGAGTGGGAGCTGAGCAGAATGTGGGGCATGGCCACAGACACAGCTGGTAAATCTTCAGAGTGCCCCCCCAAGCTGGGGGCAGGACCCTTTCCCCAACCAACACCAAGCACTACACATTCAGGAGGGTCACTAACCAGCAAGCCAGACGTCTTCTTCTAAGACTCCTAAGATGCCACCAGTGCCCCCGCACCAGGGAGCTTTCCTCCACGCCCAAGCATGGAGCCGAGTACACCCGGGGGCCGACAGCCATCGCAGGAAGGCTCTGCTTACCAGCCCCTCGCTCTCCTCCGCCGTCCTCTGGAAATGTGCAGCCATAGCCACGTAGTCGCGTATCTGCCTGTGACATTCGAGACACTTGATCCCGTGCCGGATGAGCCTCACGGGGTCTGGATAGAGCGGCAAAGCCGGAAGGCTTGGGCTGGCACTGCCTGACGTGAGGCCACATTTGGGGGATGATGGGGGGACTGGGACTGCAGGGGCCGGGGAGGTCCCCGGGGCCGACACAAACATCTGGTCCACAGAGATGGGCTTCACGAGCAGCTGAGAACACTGCATGACGAGCCCCTTGCTCTTGTGGTCACGGGCATGCCGGAGCAGGCTGCACTTGTTGTAGAAGAGCAGTGTCTGCGAGCACAGTGTGCACAGCACCTCGATGTGGACACTCCGCCGGCCATAGTGCTGGCTCAGGCTCTTCTCTAAGGCAAACGCATCCCCACACTCCAGGCAACAGTACCCACTGGCCGGTACGTGGATCCTGCTGTCCGCAGGTGGGCTGAGATTTGGCGCATAGAGGGGCACGGGGTTGGAGCTGTGCAGGACCCTGTTGAAGACCTCCACAACCAGTGGGGCAGCCTTCTTCACCTGGTGGACCAGGGGCACCGACATCTGCGGCAGCTGTGGCTGGCTGCGCCTCTGTGCCGAGGACTTGGCCGTCACCGACGCGGCAACACTGTGGGGGACGAGGTTCAGGTTGGCCAGGTGCACAGCCTTGGGCAGGAGGTTGGCAGGCGCCAGGGCAGAGGCCTGCAGCGCTGTGCTCTGCTGCTGCTTCTTGCCTGTCTGTGAGCTGGGGATAGCCCCCTTTGGAATCCGGGACCCTGAGCTGCAGCAGGGAGATGCCGAGTCAGTGGCCTTCGGTGCGCTCTCATCCCCTTTCTTGTCACCCAGGGGGCTCCCGGAATTTGTGCCTACCTCCGGAGAGTGCGCCACTGCCGGCAAGGCAGTGACCTCGTCCTCTGGCACCTCACTTGGGGCCTCGGTAATGGCACTCCCTAGAGGTGATCCAACGGGGGACTTGCTGGGATCATCAGGGTCTGGCAGGATCCTTGTGACGGTCCGTTTGATTTCCCCCGATGATGTCTTAATGGTTTTGATTCTGACTTTGGGAATTGCTGGTGGGGAGCTGGCAGCCACCGAAGGGGAGCCTTTGCTGCTGCTGTCACTGCAGATGCTCCGAGGGCTGTCTGATGGCTTGATATTCTTTCTGGTGGCCTCCAGAGGGCTCCGGGGACTCTTTGGTGACTTGGGCATTTTGGGGCTGCCTTTGGAGCCCTCTTTTGTGGGCCCTGAGGGATCCTTTGTGTGGCCAGGCTGGTCCTCCTTGGTGACACTGGCCACTCTTTTGGCCTGCAGCGCCACCAAGGCTGCAACACAAGAGGAAAGCTTAGAATGAGCTGGCTTCAGACGCTGCCGAGGGGGGACTGATGAGCAGGTACCAAGCTCCAGGGTGAGCCCCTTAGGCTCTCCAGTACTGTTGCTGGGGTGGCTGTTGAATTCCAGAGCTTCCCCAAAGAATCGACTGGCATCCAGCTCCTTGTGAGGTTCCCCCACCTTCTGCCCACCTCTTTCGTGCTCCCCCAACGGCAGAGGCTCTGGCTTGGGCTCCTTCTTACAGAAGTGATCAAACATGTGGAGCTCTGGGACTGGAAACTTAGCCAGAGCCTCCAGGACTGGGCCCCCCACAGACCCACACCCAGGAGGGGGTGGGAAATAACCGTCTGAGTGCTTGGGCTTCATTCCAAACCCATTATCTTTGATGGCATCCTCAGGTTCTGGGCTGGAGATTGGACTGAACTGGTTAAAGGTCGGTAACGGCTCTGACTTGGAAGGTTCTAGCTTGCCAGAGAAACTCCTAGTACTGTCTCCATTCATGAAAGTGGAATCAAACTTCCCACAGTTGTGGCCCAGGCTGTGGGGATCTGGAGGCAGGTCCGAGCCCCGGAAACCATTGTGTAGGAGGCTGGGAGCAATGTGGTCTTTCTCCGCTTCAAATGACTCCTGGCGGCTGGTGTTCTTGACAATGACACTCACAGCCGGCACATCTGAGGATGAACCTGAGTGAGACAAGGACACACTCTCATCCATACACATGCCTGGAGGTTTGAGGGGACTCTCATTCTCCTCACTGGGGGTCTGGATGGCCTCCTTGGCATCAAGGCTGGTGGGGTCTGGGATGTCAAAGGCAGCCAGAAGGTCATCGAAATCTGGAGTTTTCATATCCCCCATGGCTGGATGCTGGCAAGGGCTACAACAGAAACAGAACAGAATCAGTGATTCCCAGGATCCCACTGGACTCCATCCAGCATCATCTTCATCACACTGTCACACATGCACACAGCCAGGATGCACATAGGCAAACCCCCAGATTCTGGGAAATCACACACCTGGCTTTTACCCCAACAGGTTTCCAAAATGCTGGGGGTATTGGGGGAGGGGTGGAAAGAGAAGTTTATATGCAGTGACGCCTGGCCAGACCTAAGCATCAATACCTGGAAATTCCTGGCTGGTTCCATAGCCAAAAAGAGAGAGCACTCATACCATACTCCCTCAATTTCTCAGGGACTATTATCACCCCCTAACCACATGCACTAGTGAAAAATCAATCATTGAGACGAAAGAAAGAAAGAAAGAAAGAAAGAAAGAAAGAAAGAAAGAAAGAAAGAAAGAAAGAAAGAAAGAAAGAAAGAAAGAAAGAAAGAAAGAAAGAAAGAAAGAAAGAAAGAAAGAAAGAAAGAAAAAGAGAAGGAAAGGGAAGGAAAGGAAAGGAAAAGAAAAAGAAAAAGAAAAAGAAAAAAAGAAAAGAAAAGAAAAGAAAAGAAGAGAGAGAAAGAACGAATGAACCATGGCTCAGCATCTCTTTTCTTTGGAAAACTTCTGATTCATAGATGAGACATGGCTATAACTTCTGCTAATTAAACTCCTAATATTAAATCATTAATTTTGTCATTTTGGTTTCTTGCTGCTACATGAATTCAATCAAATCCAAGATGATTTGCTATTGCCAGGATTAATGTTAACTGTCTCATAAATAAACTCCAGCAAATTATATCATCTCCTAGGCCTTTTTTTTTCTCCCTAGTCAGTGTCTGCTTGATTCCTTTTCATCTACAACTGTGATTGGCTGGCAAACAGACAGCTAAACATGAGGGGCAGAGCGACTCTCAAGTGCCACATGGTCATCAAATGGGCCAGGGAATAGTGTCAGGGAAGCCCCAAATTGTATTTCAACTTAATACAAAAGAAAGGAAACCCCAGCTGTTTCCTTCATGCTCCAGAGAAGGAGAACTATAGCAGTCCTGGGATAGGGGAGAGCCAGAGTACTAGGAAAGAGGCCTTCTGTCAGGAAATCACTGTCACATTCACATTCAGATGAAATATGGAGCTAGCTGGCTCCAACCTGCTGGAAAGAGGAAGAAAAACCCCACCAACTCCCTTGCTCAGCCCACGGATCCAGCATCTTCTTCGGCATCCCAGAGCCTCACTCTCTTGCCTATTTCTTACACCACACTTATACTGAAAACCTGTCTGGATATAGAATGACACGACTCTTTCAGAAAGCAGCACTGTGGCTGCACAGAACCAAACATGGTAAATCCTTGGGTCCAGGAAGCCCAAGGCTTATCCTAAGAACAAAAATTCCCAAAAGCTATATACAGAAGGAAATACCCTTATTAAAACAACACAAAAGACAGAGACACACACACAAAGAATCTAAATGTCCAAGAAAAGGGATTGATTAAATAATTGATAGACTAGGGGATCCCTGGGTGGCTCAGCAGTTTGGCGCCTGCCTTTGGCCCAGGGCGCAATCCTGGAGTCCCAGGATCAAGTCCCGTGTCGGGCTCCCGGCATGGAGCCTGCTTCTCCCTCTGCCTGTGTCTCTGCCTCTCTCTCTCTCTATCATGAATAAGTAAGTAAATAAATAAATAAATCTTTTAAAAAATAATAATAATTGATAGGCTATTATGTAGCCATTAAAAATCTTAATTATGACATTTACACAGCAACATGGAAAATTACTTATAGTGCTAGGGCTCCTGGCTGACTCTTGTCAGTGGGGGATGTGACTCTTGATTCAAGGTTGGGAGTTCCAGCCCTATGCTGGGGGTAGAGATTACTTAAGAAAAATCTTTTAAAAAAAAAATCACTTATAGGGGATCCCTGGGTGGCTCAGCGGTTTGGCACCTGCCTTCAGCCCAGGGCATGATCCTGGAGTCCCAGGATCAAGTCCCACATCGGTCTCCCTGCATGGAGCCTGTTTCTCCCTCTGCCTGTGTCTCTGCCTCTCTCTGTGTGTCTCTCATGAATAAATAAACAAAAATCTAAAAAAAAAAAAAGAAAGAAAAAAAATCACTTAGAGTGCTAAGTTAAAAAAATATGAAAAATGTCAGACTATAACAATGTAAAGCTAAATATGTATTTGAGCCAAAATTAAAAGAAAGAGAAAAATAATGATGCAGGGTGGTGGGATTACTGGTGGTTATTTTTTTCAAAACTCTTTTTGTGGTGATAGATTGCTTTTATAATTTTAAAAGGGGTAAATAAAGGGGGAAAAAACCCACTTAGGGAAAGGTCGCCTGGGTGGCTCAGTCAGTTGAACTTACTTAATTTCAGCTGAGGTCATGATCTCAGTCTCCTGGGATCCAGCCCTGCATTCATTGGGCTCCACACTCAGAGGGGAGTCTGCTTGAGGATTCTTTCTCCCTCTCCCCACTCATGTTCTCTCTCAAACAAATAAATCTCTTAAAAAAAAAAACCCACATGGAAGCAGGTGGCATAGCAGAGATATATCTATCACCACCCGTGGGATCAACAAGTTTGCAGGGTTGGTTTTTTGCTCCGTCCCAACTCCCCAAAAAACACATCTGCCTGCTGAAGAGTTCTCAAAGAAAATGAAAAATATCTCCTAATGGGAATATATCTAATTATGGTAGATAATAATAAAGTGAAATACCAATTATCTAAACTAAATACAATTGGCAGGATATCTCTTTGAAATGAGATGTTAAGTTCCTGGACACAAATAACTGTCCCCTGGAATAGGAGCTCATAATCAAGGGGAATATTCTGGCCATTGGTGAGAGCACTAATAGCCCAAAACCAAGTAAACCACTAGATAGGTGGATCCTAACTTTAAGGAAATGCCTCTGTGATATATGCTGGGTACGTTTGTTTCTTTCCCTACCCCCCCCCCACTTTTTTTTTACCATCTAGGGAAAAAAAAGATTGAGGGAAATAGAGTAGATTGGTCTTTTTAAGGAGCTGAAAAAACATGTGAGGGAAGAGAGGCAGTAGTTGGTGGTATGTGCAAGGATTAGTGGGGAACCTACTACTGTCCAACGTGAAGTCACAGGAGCTTAGAGTAGAGAGATATTACATCAGAAGAAAGTAATGCTCTCCACACAGGGAAATCTCAGGGATTGTCTGAGAATGGTCAGAGATAAGGTAAGGTATGTTTTTGCAAGGAAATTCAGAGCAGGGATACAGTGTAACAGCTTAATATCAACAGCAGGAAAATCTTTATAACCTTTGGATCTTAAATACCAAAGCTGACGCTTTTAAAAGCCAAAGATCAAGTCCTGTTTTCTGTTTACTCATAGTAAGGAAGAACAAAAACAGCAGCAAACAATAGACATGAACAAGAGACTTTTGGTGTATCTGCTTGTATGTCTTCAAAACTTGCTCTGAAGTATCACACTGCTTATAGGTAGAAAAGAGAAATTAGGGATCCCTGGGGGGCGCAGCGGTTTAGCGCCTGCCTTTGGCCCAGGGCGCGATCCTGGAGACCCGGGATCAAATCCCACGTCGGGCTCCCGGTGCATGGAGCCTGCTTCTCCCTCTGCCTGTCTCTCTCTCTCTCTCTCTCTCTCTCTCTCTCTCTGTGATGACTATCATAAATAAATAAAAATTAAAAAAAAAGAAAAGAGAAATTAATCAAAATGTACCCTGTTATAAAAGCAAAGAAAGAAACTATAAAGAAAAAGACTACCAATAATAAGTTCTAGTCGTCAAAAACCTGCCAGCACAAAGTTAGCAGGCAAACAACAAACTGACAGGAATATCTGCAAGGAGACAGTTACCATCATTAATGTCTTTATTATAGAAAAAGCCTTTATGAAGCAGTCCAAGATAAGCAGCCCACTAGGAAAATAAGCAAAGGTACTGAGCACACAATTTAGAAAAGAAACAAAAGTGGACAGCAAATACAGAAAAACACAGTTGCTACCTCTCAAGGAATTAGAGAAATACAATTTAAACAATGAGAAGCCATTTTGGGCTTACCAAATTGACCAAGATTTTCAAAAAGTAACTCCTGGTGTTGGTGAAGATGTGGTCAAGCATTTCATTTCCTTCTGTTTTTTTGTTTTTGTTTTAGGTAGGCTACACACCTAAAACCCTGAGATCAAGACCTGAGCGGAGATCAAGAGTGGACACTTAACCGACTGAGTCACCCAGGCACCCCTGATAAAACCTATGTTAACATCAATTTAGCAATGCATACATGAGGCCCAATAATTCCACTTCCAGAAATTTATCCTAATACAGATGCATGTGACAACGATAATCACTGCATACTTATTTATAGCAAACTTCCTTCATAACAAAAAATAAGACACAACCAAAGTCCCAAGAGAAAATTGGTTCAATAAATTATGGTATAGAGGATCCCTGGGTGGTGCAGCGGTTTGGCACCTGCCTTTGGCCCAGGGCGCGATCCTGGAGACCCAGGATTGAATCCCACATCGGGCTCCCGGTGCATGGAGCCTGCTTCTCCCTCTGCCTGTGTCTCTGCCTCTCTCTCTCTCTGTGACTATCATAAATAAATAAATAAATAAATAAATAAATAAATAAATAAATAAATAATAAATTATGGTATAATAACACAATTAAATAATAGGCATCTTATAATACAATATTTACAGCTATGAGAAATGCTCCTGATACAAAGTGGGAAGGGAAGGATACTGTAATGTGTATATATATATATATATATATATATAGTAAAATCTCTATTTAAAACAAAAATTTTTATTATATACAGTGTTTATGAAAAGGGCTAGAAGAACATTCTAAAATATTTTTTAATTTTTATTTATTTATGATAGTCACACACAGAGAGAGAGAGGCAGAGACACAGGCAGAGGGAGAAGCAGGCTCCATGCACCGGAAGCCCAACGTGGGATTCGATCCCGGATCTCCAGGATTGCGCCCTGCGCCAAAGGCAGGCGCTAAACCACTGCGCCA